CTTCATCCAATTCTTTCATTTTGAAATGTTTGTATAGTTGATTATTCAACATATCAATCTTAATCTTATTAGTAGATGCAATCAACATATCATCAATATATAGGAACAAGTAAATGAACTATCGTTGGCTAACTTCTTAAAATATGCACAATGATCTTATTGGCTCCACGTGTACTCCTGTTCCCTGATAAACTGATCAACTTTTTTATACCATCTTCGTGGTGACTGTTTCAATCCATACAATGATTTTTCCAATTTGCATACACATTCTTTTGATGCTCCATATCCAGACGGCTACAACATTTATATATCTCCTCTTGCAATTCTTTAGATAGGAATGCAGTCTTCACATCGAGCTGTTCCAAGATTAGACCGTATTGTGCTACAAGTGTTAAAAGAACACGGATTAAGGGATGCTTGACCACTTGAGAGAACACCTCGTCATAATTAATGCTTTCTTGTTGCACAAAATTTTTTGTCACTAATCTCGTCTTGTATCACACATCAAATCCATGAGATTCTTCCTTCTTTGCATACACCTATTTGCAGGTTTTCCTTTCAGAAGGTAGTTTCACCAACCTCCAAGTATCATAGACTTCATCTTTTTTTCTACTGCCGTCTTTCAATATCACAGTTTGGGCTCTGTACTGTTTTTTTGTAGCGACAATGAATTTCTGCCTCTGTAACTGTGATCTCCCAACCACCAAATGCAATATGATCCCTCAATTAATCTGGTTTTAGGAAATTCTGGAGCCTTGCCTTGCTCCTAGCGATAAATTTTTGGGTAGGAGTCCAAACCCATCCTTAACATCTTCTACATCATTCTGAGCATTATGAACAAATACCTTCTGAGTTGCAATTGAATTAGGTATCTGATTTGGAGAGGCCGAACTCTGTGGAACAAATGAATTTGCTTCAAATTCCAACTTCTGCTGCATGTCTATCATCCCAGTAGAACTCTTTACTTGCTTTGAGTCTCGATTTTTCAATAAGCTTGACTCATCGAATGTAACATCCCTGCAAATGACATGTCCTTGTCTCAATAATTGCTGAAGACAGATGGTTTATCAAGTGACAGACAGTCTATAACTTCAGCCCAATCAACTCTATCCAACCTAGCATTGTATAACATACACCAAATTTTCTCCACCAAATTTCAGTTCATGCTCTGCCACCCCATATTGCTGTGGTGTTTCTCGAACAGTGAGATAGTGTTCTATCCCATTGTATTCACCCTCATTGTTTGATCTGATATACTAGATCTTTTTATGAGTATAAGTCTCAATCTATTTCTTCCAAGTTATGAAAATTTCCAACACCTCGTTTATGCATTGCATGGTTTACACCCAAATATACCTGGAGTAATCATCAATAAAAGAGACAAAATATCTCTGCCCACCGACCGATGCTGTCTTTGTCGGACCCCAAACATCTGTGTGAACATAATCTATAATGTTTTTTATGATGTGGATGACAGTTTCAAAAAATACATGCGTCTTCTTTCCAATGTACAATGTTCACAAAATTCTAGCTTGCAAGTGCTCACTCCTTTAATCAATTCTTATTTCACCAAAGCATAAAGTGAAGCCTCTCCGGCATGAGCTAACCGCATATGCCACAAGTAGTGACGTTAGAAGAATCATTGACAACAACAACTATTCCGGTTATTGTACTGCCTTGAAGATAGTAATGTTGTGATGACAAATTCCCTTCATAAAAATCAATGCTCAACGGTATATTCTCAAAACTCGTGCCTCAATAAATTCCTTATAGCCCTTGGACTTTAAAACCCCAACTGATCGTGAATTTTTCCTGACATTTGAAACATGTTTAACATCAGTCAACTCACTCGCAGGACCATCAGACATCCTGATATAGATACTCCCTCTACCAATAGTACAAGTTTGATTGTTGTTTATAATCATTGTATCGCTATCTAATTTTTTGTATGTACATATATAACAACCTTCGATGATGATAAATGCGATAGATAACACCTTTGTCAAGAATTCAACATGAAAGATCTGTAAACAAATTGTGAGAAACTGCAGATAACGATGCATCTGAATTCACCTTTTCACATTTTTCCACGATAATGTTGGCTTTCACCTCATTTGTAACTTATTTTTTTCTTCTTCAGCTTCAGACAATCTTTCTTCCAATGGTCAGTCTTTAAATATAAAACACATTGATTTCTCCCAAGATTGCACCCATGAAACTTTTCTTGCTTTTAAGAAGTTCGTCGATGTTACCTTTCTTTATTGAATTCTTCTTTTTCTTCTTCTCAGATCTGCTACGTTAGAGTGTAAAATCCTTAGCTGACTTCATCTTTGTGGACTCGTTGTCCTTTCAATAGAACCTATGATTAAACAATGTTGTTGTCACTTCATTATAATTTAAGACCTCCTTACCATAAATGAGTGTTATCGTGAAGATTTCGTACCTATCTGAGAGCAAATTCAAGAGGGGTGTTTTGTCTTCATCTTCAACATCTTCATCCAAATTTAACAGATCTGCAAATAGCTTTGTGAAGTCATTCAAGTGTTCATCAATATTAACCGCCATTTCATTTAAAATTTGCATAGTCGACGCTTCATATGGAGACGATTATCTACGCTTTTTGTGAGATATCTGTTCTCCAGCCTCCTTCACAATTTCCCTGCAGAAATTTCCATCAGCACTCCATATTCGATCTCATTGGTTAAGCAATTTCGGATCAAGTCACAAACACTCCGGTTCATGTTCAATCAATCTTTCTCTGACTTTTCTTCAGGACATTCTTTACTATACAGGACTTCCTCCAGATTCAAAGAACATAGCGTGTCTATCACCTTGAATTGTCACATGCCAAATTTTCCTTTAATATTGAATTTCTTCACATCGATTATGACGGGATACGTAATCACTTGATAAATCCAATTTTCTACCCTCATAATAGACGTTAAATAACCTGACATTATGCTATCACTTATTGATATTACTGTTGAAATCTCTTCCTCAAAAAAATATTCCTCTAATAGAATACCGGGAAAAAAGGGAAAGAAAAATATTTCTCTAACCAGTTCATGTTCAATCAATCTCTCTCTGACATCTCTTCATGACATTGTTCACCATTCAGGACTTCCTCCAGATTCAAAGAACATAGCGTGTCTATCACCTTGAATCGTCACATGCTAAAGTTTCCTTTAATATTGAATTTCTTCACATCGATTTTGACGGGATACATAATCACTTGATAAATCCAATTTTCCACCCTCATAGTAGACGTTAAATAACCTGACATTATGCTATCGTTCATTGATATCACTGTTGAAATCTCTTCCTCAAAAAAAATATTCCTCTAATAGAATACCTGAAAAAAGGGGAAAGAAAAACAAAAAAAAGTTCACCTGAAAAGTAAAAATGCTTTTTCTTCCTATATTTCTGAAAAGAATCATTTTTTTCTCCTTTGTTTTTTTCTTTCCAGAAAGGAAGAGTATTATATTTCTTAAAAAAAAATTGGAAATCTCCTTTTCTTTTTTCTATTTCACGAAATTACTTTAAAAAAAATTTACTTTTTTTGTTCTGTTAGGAAATCTCCTCCTGTTGGAGTGACCGACCTGCTAGACCTCTCCTATTCCACGCAAACTTCAGCCAGGCTGCAGCACCAATCCCGCAGTCGGATCGTCAGCTAGACCGCAACCGGAACTTCTACAATCGGGACCTCTGCCCTTCTCTTAAACATCAACAAAACTCTACAAAGATACTAGAAGTTCACATGCATCTCATTAAACTTTATTTAACTGAAATGGATTAATCCAATAGGGTTTAGCGCTTAAGTCATCAAATGTTGCTTTATAGATAAGCAATGGATTCTCAAAGGCCTGCATAAGGTTGAAAAATGTGCCACGATTTCACAGGTAAAAATTAAATCTAGCTTAAATCCAGCATAAAATAAAATACCAAATAACCTCATAGAATAATCTGATTTTAGAACGATGAAAGTTAAATATGCAAGTATAATAATTATGTGGCATGTATGTAAATCTCCCAAGAAGAATTTGTCCATCTCAATCATAGCCACACTGGGTTGCCTGACCAAGCCATCCACATGCCTTCACCATGATTTGACATATTGCCCATCCAAGATTCATCATCAACTTTCTTAAGGGTAGACAAATAATGTTCAGGCAAGTAAAAATTCATGTCATAACGTGGCACAAAGGTACAAATTGATAGAGAAAGCTCCATGTAGGTTATCCATAAAAAAGTCCCAAAATTTCAAGCGATTCACGAGGGAAGGAAGAGACAAGAAACATACGGTTTACCTCGGGCGAGGGGTCTTTCGGGATCGAAGAGAGTAGGCAAGAATGATGAGTGTCCTTCGGGATCGAAGAACAGGAGGAGCGGAAGCGAAACAAGCAAAATGCGAATAGTCGAATACGGTTTGCCTTAAAGCGATTCGTGAAAATTTCATGTGGGTGAACCGGTCGACTGCTACTTGTTCGATGGTTATGCTGTTCGATTGCCGGTTTAGTATGGTTTAAGTCGGTTAGTGCAAAAACGGTTTTTTTGGCCCCCCATGACTGGACGGACCGGCCTGGTTTTTTAAACTTGGCGAAAACAATACAGAAACGAAGAAATTCTCACAACAATCAAATACTAAACACTCGATGTTAATTTGATTCACATGCATCTACGGGCAGGAAGATTTCACTAGCATTGAATCGGAGAAAAAAAGAGGCTAGGGGTTACAGCTTCAGCGCTTCTCACCATAACTCTCTCATGAACCCTAAGTCTTTTTTATAGTGGAGGATTTATGACATACCAATAAATAAAGCCAAACGACTAAATTACCCCTAATTATAATAAAAGCCATAAATACTACACAATGTGTGTAAATATGAAAGTTTAGGTGTGAGAGATATAAATACATAGGAATTGTGTGATATGTATGTAAATGCTCCTCTTTTTTTTTCCTCTCAGAACTTCTATAAAGATATTTGCCTTTAAATTTGTAGCTTCTTGTTTATGGAGCTGGCCATGTTTTTTCTTCTACTCTCAAGGTCCTCCGGGCTGACCTCGAGTTCTCTATCCACGTGGGCATTTCTACTGATGTTCAGTATGGCCGATTGGTGCTGGTAATGGATAAGAATTTCTGCACAGATGCTGCTGGTAACAGCTTTACAAGAACAATGAATTCAAGATTCTTCTTACATTTCGGTATGCTATATACTTCGTTCATTAGCATATATTTTCCCTTTATTTAACTTTATGGACTGTAAAAAAAAAATTATGATGTAAAGGAAAATTTCATTTATTATGTTATGAGTTTTTAATGTTTGCACTCTAAATTCTATCATGTTAATTCTGAAATGTAGTAAGAAACCTTGATATGCTCACTGTTAGGATAAAATTCATACCTTTTGAATTACTAATAGCTTCTTCAATTTGTAATTTCAGATAAAAGACCAGTTTTTCTGAATATAAGGACCCGTATTCCAGACAAATTACTTCAACTTAATGGAAATATAAGGAGAGTTGATGCAACTAACAGCCAAAGGGATCTTATGATCTACCTGTACTTTTCAGAACCAGTCCTTAATTCGTCAGTGCAAGTCTTAAATGTTCTTCATGCAAGTAGTGGTATTCTTCTACCGTTAAATGGTAGTACCCTTGCAAACCGTCGATTGGGATATAAAGTGAGCCACTTTTAAAGAGAAATGTTGGAATAATTTTCATTGGTTTAATTTATGAGTTATGTAATAATGATTCTTCTTTTTCTGGATGAATTTAAATTCATACCATTCTAGGTTACTGGAGTGTCGAGCATGGATGTTGTCACCATAAACTGTGCAACAAATTCTATAATCAGCAGACAAGGAACTCCAGTCTCTGCTTTGGTTCCATTCACGTTCTTATATGGTACATTGTTTCTCTTGTGATAAATGAAAGAAATCTTCTCTAAAGCTCAGAAAATTTATGTGTCCATTTGATAGTATTATAACAGCATATGGTGGAAAATTTATATGATAATTAATATTTTTTTGAAAGTTGTTATGAAATTAGTGACTTCAAATTTGAGGAGGAATTTCATGCTCTCAACGTTTTTAATAGGTGGTCTAAATACTTTGCAAGAACATGGTTTCTTATGCATGATTCATGAAGCATTTATATGCAATAACCTGATAAATTTTGAAGTTTATCACATAATTATGTAACATTTTGGTTAACATTAATACCTAGAAATGTAAGGGAATCTATCAAAATCTATTAAAATCATTTAAGTCCTCATCAATAGTCAGATTGCGATATTCTTGTCCACAATCTCATTTATCATGTATGTACCAAACACATTGATGTGAGGTACCACTTTGTTGAGGACTTATTTGATGATGATAATGTTCTGTTGAAAAAAATAGATACGAATGAGAATCTAATGGACATTCTTACAAAAATACTACCATTTTGTTCAGGACTTGATTGATGATGACAATGCTCCATTGCAAAAGATAGATACGAAGGAGAATTTAATACACGCTCACAAAGATATTATCAGTCCAAAAGTTCAGTTACTGTAAAATTTTGGTGAATACCTGAGCTTGTGATTGATTGCCCATGCGGGCATTGTGAGGCATGATCCTTTCAGGAGAGGGCGATATGCAGACAACCATCTTAGTGCAGTCGTTGTTGTATTTGAGCTCTTTTTAATCATCTGCTACTTATCTAGAAGTGAGATATAAGGTGGAGATTATTACAAAAAAATATTAAAATCTAATGATTGTAAATTAAAAAGTGTATATTAGAAAAATTAATATTAAGTAACCTAATTTAGGAAGATCTAATTATATGATCTTTCTATACTATGAAACCTAATTTGAGTAGATCTAAATATAGTCTTTTCTCTATTTAAAATATTTCTAATTTGGGTACTCTATTCTTCTCTTACTTATATGAGAGATTATAGAGGATTTGTGAGTGTTGAGTTGTAACACTATTTCGGTTAATATTTCTTTTCTCTCCACTGCATAGTGGAATAACCTCTCCTCGTGGATTTAGGCGAATTTTTTTCGAATCACGTAAGTTGCACTGTTTTTGGGTAGTTGTTTGTTGTGTGAATTTATTTTTTACATTGTTTTGCACAATAATCAATATCAGAGTCAGATCGACGATTCTAATGACGAGCGACTGTGATTCTGATGATGTGTGGACACAAAACAGAGATTAGAGCAAGTTAGGCTATAAAATTTAGTGGTGCCATGATTACTAACATGTCGGGTACTTCAACATCCACCACGATGATGGAAAAGACGATTCATCAGGTGGTTATGCATCCCGTCAATATATTGCTACGAAATTTGATGACAAATAACTTTGGCATGTGGTGGTGCGAGGTGATGGATATGTTGCTTTCTTTGAAATTGGAGGAAGTTTTTAATAGCTATGCACATCTTAGAGAGGTGTCAGAAAAAAAAAAAATGTTTGAAAATGAACTGAAGTGCTCGTGACTTGATTTGAATTCACTTATCTCAAGAGATCAAATATGAGGTGATAATGAAGACTTCTACAGGAAAATTTGGAGGACGCTGAAAAATAAATTTTTGACAGAGCGTGGAGAATTTCTTCATATTAAACATCGAACCCACAAGTTTCAGAAAAGATATGGGGTTACAATTGAGAAAAACTTGAATGATTTTACAAAGCTTTTGATAGATCTGTTAATTTTGGATGAAGATATTTGATATGAAGGCAAGACACTTATATCGAGTTCACTCTCAGATGACGTCGAAAACTTCATGATGACATTCATGGGAAGACAATCTTGAATTATGTCACTCTGACTACGATGGTATTGAATCATGAATTCCGTCGAAGTGACAGAGTCCACAAAGATGTATTCAACTTTTGCACTTACATCCAATGTGGTATATATAAGAAGAAGAATTGGGCAAAGAAGGCTGACAACGGGACATTTCTCAATAGTGGACAAGTTGTGTGGGCGCAACCTTGAAAAAATCAGTGTTCTTTTTGTTTAGAGACTGGTCATTAAAAAAATGATTGCTTGAAATTGAAGGAGAAGAGAAACGAAGTTTCTTTTGAGACGAAAACCAATCTTATTGTAGAGAAAAGTGATGAGGCAGATTCAGATGTATTCCTATCTATAGTTTTTCACAGTTTATATATAGATGATTTGTGTTGGATTCTAGACATGTGTTACTTATCACATATGTTCCCATTGAGGGTGATTCTGCTTCATAGCGGTGCTATAATTATGGGTAACGATCAAGTTTGTCGTATTATTGTTTTGTGAAGCGTTTTTATTATGATGTATGATGATACTGTTAAGGAGCTATCTGATATTAGACATGTTTCAGATATTGGAATAATTTGATATCAGTTGAGGCCTTAGAGGCCAAAGACTATAAGATAATTATTGAAGTAGGTGTTCTGGGGATATATTGTGACACACTAATCTTTATGAAAGGAGTTCACCATCACAATTTTTATTATCTCAACGTAATACAGTGACTGAAATGATTACTATTGTTGATGATTCTTCTGATACCACTATGTTATGACATATGCGGTCAACTCATGCTAGAGAGGCTTCACTTTAATCTTTGGTGAAATAAGAATTAATTAAAAAAGCAAAGACTTTACAAGTTTAATTTCTATGAATATTGTGTGTTTTAGCAAGAAGACATGAGTATTCTTTGGTACTATCATAAATAATACAAAAAATATTTTAGAATATGTACATACATATATTTAGGGTCCAACGAAGACGACATCATTCGATAAACGAAGATGCTGTCTCTTTCATCGTCGATTAATCCATATATGTCAGGTGTATATCATGAAGCGCAAGTGTGAGTAGCTGAAGATTTTCAAAACTCAGAAGCAGTTGATTGAGACTCACATTGATTAAAAGATCCTAAGGATCAAATCAGATAACAAACACAAATATATATCATATGTGTTCTTGCAAGAATGTCAGAGAGCTGGGATAGAACATTGTTTCACTGTACAAGAGTCGCCACAGTAGAATAGGGTGGTAAAGAAGATAAACCAGAATTCGATGAAGAATGTTCGGTGTATTTTATCCAATACTGGGTTGGATAGAGTCTATTGGGTTGAGGCCATAGACTATATTTGTCATTTGGTGAACTGTCCATCTTCTATAGCTATTGGGAGAAGATTTGAAAGAGATATGGTCAGGGCACCTGTCAGAGATTGTGAATACATGAGTGCATTTGGTTGTCCAGCTCACTATCATATGCATAGTAATTATCATGTGCATAATGATAAACTGAAACCACGAGTAAAGAAATATGAGTTATATAAATGTGGAGTCAAGGGCTTCAAGATGCATGACCAATTATAAAAGAAGATTGTCATTACCAAAGATGTTCCATTTAACAAGACAAACTTGTTGAAGCCTCGATCTGTTAGAGAGTTCTACTATGATCATAGATATACAACAAAAATTAGAGTTTGACGTAATTTCATTTGTTCTACAGAGTTCATCCACTCCTACTTAGGTACCTGATCCAGTTGCAGTGCAGAAGGTACCTATTGACAATGTTCAAGAGAAGTTGAAAGAAGATGCTGAGGATGAGGTTCATGCACAGGAATGTATTGCTAGGAGCAGGACAAGATGTCAGAATATCTCAAAATCAACTTGATTGAGAGATCACATTCAATTTGCACATTTGGTCATGGAGGTTGGAATCACTTGTTACTACAAAATAGTTGTAGAGAGCTTAAAGGGTTATATTTGGAGAGGGGCAATAGATTAAGAGATAGAGTTTCTTCAGAAGAATACTGGTTGGAGGTTGGTAAAGCTTTCTCTGAGAAGGAAAGCCATTGAGTGCAAATGAGTGTATGCCAAAAAGAAAGGATCACATAGAACTGATGTACAATATAAGACAAGATTAATGACAAAATATTTTATGAAACGAGAAGGCATTGACTATGATGGGCATTCTCTCGTGGTCAAATATCCCTTGATCCGTGTACTCTTAGCACTTATAGCATACTTTGATATGATTTTGGAGCAACTTAAAATGAATGCTGCGTTTCTACGTAGAGAATTGCAAGAGGAAGTCTATATGTTGCAGCCGTCTAGATATGGATTTCAAAAGTCTTGGTTTGTAGATTTAACAAGTCTTTATATGGGTTGAAACAGCCACCACAACAATGTATAAAAAGTTTAATCAGTTCATGATAGGTAGGACATGAGTACACAAAGAGCCAATATGATCATTATGTATATTTTAAGAGATTAACCAATAATAAGTTCATCTAGTTGCTTTTATGTGTTGAGGACATGTTGATTGCATATGCTAGTCAGACTAAGATTGATAAGATGAAGAAGCAGTTATCTAAACATTTTAATAAGAATTGGGTGAAGCTTGTAGAATTCTTGGCATGAAAATTCTAAGAATTAAAACAACTCGAAAGGTTTAGCTCTCACAAAAACACATGTTCAAAATGTGCTGAAAATTTTTGGATTTGACGAGTCGAGAAGACGGAGAGTCTACCCATTACATCTCACTTTCAATTGAGTTTAGATTAGTATCCTAAAGATGATTAGGAGAGAAAAAATAGGCGATCATTTCTTTATGCAAGTGCAGGGGATAGTCTGATGTATGTCATGATTTGTACTAGACTAAACATTGCATAAACAATTGATATCATAAGCAAGTTCATGCATGATCCATGGAATTATTAGCAGATTATGAAGAAAATTTTGAGTCGTCTGAAGAGTACAGTTGATGTTTGAAAGATACTTATATAATTGATTTGTGTGTAGGCTATACTGATTCAGATTATGTAGGTGATATGAATATGCGTAGGTCTACAAGACTACAACTGACTATTTACGCACATTGATAGGAGGTCCAGGCAGTTGGAGATTTATTCTTTAGCCTAACGTTGTTTTGTCTACTACGAAGACCAAGTACATGACAATCACAGAGGTGATGAAGGAATTGATATTTATGTAGGGCCTACTGGATTACTTACTGGATTACTTGAGAGTTGATTAGAAGTCTTTGATGGTGTTCTGTAATGGTCAGTGTGATATTCTTAGTCACAAATCCAATTTATCATGCCGGTACCGAGCACATTGATGTGAGCTACCATTTTGTTCGGGGCTTGATTGATAATGACTATGTTCTTTTGAAGAAGATAGATATGAAGAATACATCGGATATGCTCACAAAGGTACTGCTTCTCCAGAAGTTCACCTATTGTAAAAGTTTAATGGACATCAAAGCTCATAATTGATTGCCCATTCAGATATTTTAAAGAAATACTTGAGGCTTGATCCACTTGGGAGAGGTGGGTACGTAGACAACCATCTTGTCGTAGTCGTTGTCTTGTTGGAGCCCATTTTGATCATGTCCCACTTATCTGGAGGTGAGGGATGAGGTAAAAATTGTCATGGAAAGTATTAAAATTTAATCGTTATAAATTAGAAAATGTGTATATCAGAGAGATTGATATTAGGTAACCTAGTTTGGGAACATCTAATTATTATATGATGTTTCTATAGTGTCAAACCTAAATTGAGGAGTTCTAAATATATGATCCTTCTTAGATTTGAAATGCTCTTAATTTGCATATCATAATTCTCTTTTATTTATATGAGGGGTTATAGAGGGTTTGTGGGTGTTGAATTGTAACCTTAATTTGGCTAATTTTTTTTTTCTCCCCACCTGTTGATAGTGGAATAACATCTCCTTATGAAGTAGACAGATTTGTGCCTAACCACATAAATTGCACTATGTTTGGTTGTTTGTTTGTCGTGTGACTTTGTTTTCCGTCAACGCTTTAATAGATGGGTTTAAATACTTTGCAAGGATATGGTTTCTTATGCATGATTTATGAAGCATTTATATGCAACGACCTGCTGTAAATTTTGAAGTTTCTCACACATTTATTTATCATTTTGGTTATCATAAATACCAAGAGATGTGAAGGAATCTATCAAAATCTATAAACATTTTCCCCTCATTCTTCATCATTATTTTGCTGAATTTTTTTAAATGAAATTGCTCACAGATGTTCAAAGACCTGCCGTTACGCTGGGCACAACTGCAAATATGCGAACAAGAGAACGCAATATACCCATTTTTATTAAGTTTGTGAAACCTGTTTTTGAGTTCAATTCATCCTCTTTACTTATTTCAGGGGGCCATTTTGTGAGGCAAGTACACCTTTCAATGCATGAAGTTTCTTTTCCACCTTTCTCCCGTAAATTTCTAATTTTGCAATGGAAATGGTGAAGAGTACTACTAACTGAACCTTATTATCATTCCTTCAGCTTTCGTGAAGTTAGTAAGAGCATATATACTGGAATAGTACAGGCAGATGACAGTATTGTCTCTGTAGAAATTCCTGAAAATACAACAGAGGACATTGCAGGAAATAAAAACCTTGCATCAAACCAACTTCGTGTGAGACATTGTACGTGAATTTCTCTACTGTTATGATAACTTTTTTTTTCCATTTTATGAATTCATCTGCCTCTTAATAGTTATGACAGTATCATCCAACTTCTATTCATCTTGCCAAAGTAATTTAAGCCATTTTTTCAAGTTTAAAATTGTTTGATTCCCTTTTCATTAGCTGTTTTTAATTCCATATCTATTATTATTTAGACCAGAAAATAGAATGGACGCCTCTCTCAATAATTTTGATCTTATAAACATTAGTTTCGGTCCATTTTTTAAAGAAAAAAATTGTATTTTGTGTTCATGACAGATTCTGTACCTATTATCTCTGTAATGGTTTCCACCATAGCTACTGGTACATTTGCAGCTACATCTATGGCAGCAGCATTCCTCACAGTTACAACTGCAAGCCTTCTTTCCTCTGGCGTATTTTCAAGACCAACAACCTATCTGATATCAGAGCCAACTAAAAACCTTGTTGTATGAAACCTATATCTGCTACTTATATTTTGAGCTCAACATGAAATTTTTAACAAAATAGACTATATTCTGATCCTTCTTATTTACTGTTTTTTCCCGTCAGAGAATTGCATGCCACATCCAATTTTTTGCACTGTCGAAGTGGTTAACAGCCATACTGCCAGTTGAATATTATGAATTTGCAAGAGGCATTGAGTGGAGTATCCCTTACATTAATCTTCCTTGGGAAAGTGAGTGCGTAGATTCATTTTTGAAAGATTCAAGTTTTCGAGTTGTGGCGTCCAGTAAATCGTCAGAAGGGAATGTGCTGAACTCTTTCAGGCATATGGAAATAGTGAACGACAAACCAGAAAATGCACTATATGGAAAACCACTTACTCCAATTGAATACATGGCATTTCTTGAGGTTTTAAACTCATTCTTTCATTCTTCAGTATGTTTTGTTCTGACCTATCATTCTGATATTTTGATGAATCTGTTTTTTGGATTCCATCGTTACAGGATCAAAATATGAAGCCTGAAGCTGAATTTATAATGACCCCTCGAAGTACAGATGTGTAAGCTTATCATATTTATATTTATTATGTCTAACTGCATCACAAATATTTTCTTTCACATGGTCAAAATGAATATATCCGTGGTTGGTGTAGCTCTATTGCGGACCAAATTAAAGAGAGCCGTCTTAGATGGTTTGGTCACATTAAACACCGACCAACTGCTGATTCGATTAGAAGAGTAGATGTTTTAGATTCGACTTATGTTAATAAAGGTAGAGGAATACCTAGGAAGACTTGGGCATATTGTATAAAAAATTATCTTAATTTATTATATTTAAATGAAAATATGACACTAAATAAGACGCAATGGAGAAAAATGATTCATGTAACCGACCCCACATTGTATTGTATTGGTCAAAATTTCTTTTCTGCCTATCTGGCAATATATATGAAGTATTAGGCTTTAGTCTTTTCTCAGATGGTTGAAAATTATTAGGTGACTGAGATTTTATCTAATTTAACTTTTTGGGTTCAAAATGGTTTGGTGGATGGTGAAATAAACCTGATTTGCTTTCCTTTTTGCTACATTCAAAATGGTCAAAATGGTCTTGAATTGACTCTATCTGAAGCCAGTCTTTACTCTTTTCCTATATTATGTTGCCATCTTTATGAAGATACACTAGTTTTAAATTAAGGATGCTAAGTTCTTGTAATTAAACTAATCCAATCCCATCTTTGTGACCCATTACTTGGTTCTTCCGTCTTCTTCAAGGAACTCTGAATATCGGCAATATGTATTTATGTATGTTTGTGTATATATGTATATATTAAAGCAAATTTAATACAGCAGGACAGAGCCTTTCAATTACTATAACTAAAAAGAAAATCATTGTTATAGGTGGAAACATTTTGGCCGGAACATTTTTTGGTTAGCGGTGATTGGAGGCGGCTTGATAGCCCTTCATGCAATACTTCTTCTCATTCTTAGGTCAAGGAGGACAAGGCTAGAAAAAAAGAAAGAATTTGGAGCTCTTGTGTGCCCAAGATTTGAAATATTCTTATTACTCCTTGCACTGCCATCAATATGTCAGGCATCATCAACCTTAATCAGAGGTAAGTTCCCTGCTGACAGAATTTGTTAAAATATACCTTTTATGGAAGCATTATGTAATTATTTTTGGTGGTTGGTGTTCTCTTTTCAATCCAAAGGGCGTTTTCTATGGTCCTTTCTTTGCTTCCCTTCATCACTAAATGATATGTTTTAGGAATAATTATATGCATACCACTTAATTCTTATGTATTTACATATCTAACACTTAAAACTTCAATTTTTACATATGTATGCCACTTTACCTATGTTCCAAAAGGTGCATTTCAATTTTTAAAAACTAAAATAGTGGTGTTTTTTATGTGATATGAAAAATTTAGGTTGCATAAATATAAAAAGTAGATGTGTTAGATAGGTACATAAGAATTGAGTGGTATGCATATAAATGCCCCTATATTTTATACATGGTATTTAATAATGCATTAAGAACTGTCTAAACTAGTTGCAAATTCTCATTTCCTCAACTATCAGTTACTTACTCAATGGATCTTAAAATTCACATTAAGTAGAAAAACGGTAGTGTGCTGACATGCATTACTCTGCAAAACTACTGATGCACTTAAAAACTTTCTGCTATGTTTTGCTCACACCTGCATTCAAGGTCAAAGCTCCACCGGAATTACCGTCGGAATCATACTGCTTGGTATAGCCACATCCATCCTCATATCACTACTTCTGTTCCTGTCAATCGGAATCTCCCTTGGTAAGCTACTCCAATACAAAGAAGTTCATCAGGAAGGGCAAGAGTTCCATTGGTACAGCACCATCATTCGGATATTGCTCGGCCCCGGCAAACAGGGCCAGTGGACTTGGCTGAACCAGTCGAGCTCCATCAACCTCATGCGATACGGACCCCTCTTTGAAGACCTCCGAGGGCCTCCGAAGTACATGCTATCCCAGATCTCTGGCGGCATTGGGAACTCAAAGCAGGGCGACCCAATAATCGCCTCCGAAGATGAGAATGAGGACGCCGAAGCTCCTTTCATTCAAAAGCTCTTTGGCATCCTACGGATCTACTACACCTTCCTCGAATTAGCTAAACGTGCCTTGTTCGGTATCGTTGCAGGAGTATTCTACAACAAAAAATCATCAAAAGTTCCGACTCTAATAGTCCTCTCAATCACCTCTTTCCAGCTATTCTTCCTCTTACTGAAGAAGCCATTCATCAAAAGGAAGGCGCAGCTGGTGGAGATCATCTCAGTCATGAGTGAAGTTGGAGCTCTTGGTTTGTGTCTCTTTTTACTAGAGAATGATTTATCTGAAGCTGCGCAGAAGAGGGTTGGTTACTTCATGCTTGCTTTGTTTGTTTTCGGGTTTCTGACACAAATAGTAAATGAATGGCATGCATTATACGAGCAAACCATTCGGCTTAGTTCGGGCGGGAACTCGTTCTTCCAGGGATTGAAGATGGCATTTGCCGGGCTTATGTTCCTTGTGCTTCCATCAAATTTATTGAAGGATTGGAGGGAGGAATTTGGCATAAATCAAGATGAGGGTGGCGGGGTGCCATTTTCTTCGAGCGGCGAGCTGCCATGGAGCTCTGGTGAGAGGCCATGGCTGAGGCAGCTGCGGGAGTTGGCTAAGGCTAGCTTTAGCAAGGATCATGGTGGAGTCGTAACTGATCCTTCGAGTAGTCGGGTTTGGAGCGGTAAGAGAAGCCAGAGCTCATCGGTGACTTCATCATCAACGGATTTCAAGTTGAAGGGAGATATGAAGACCAAGTCCAAGGGATTGTATAAAGATCTTGAGGCCATATTTTCATCAAAATGAAGTTAGATTGGATTCATTTGGGTAAATACTATTTATGTTTTTTTTTAAATTAAATGCCTTTTATTATTTTTTCTATTTCTATTCTATTCTTTCTTGTATTTTGTATTTTGAGGAGGTTGTAGAATGGTAGATTGTCTGCCATGAGGTATGCTTTTATTGATAAAATGCAGTATATTATTCTCCTTTTCTTCTTTTTATTTTTCACCATATAACAGCACCTGTCTATGAATGTTTTTTTTTAAAGTGTGTATTGTCTATGACTATATTATGCATTAGGGGTAGACCACACGAAAAATTATTCCATACGGACAGGGTATGCAGAAATGCATACGCTGTCCGATCTCTCCTATCCATCAGAGCAAACATGTATTTTGGTGGGTCTCATTTTTTTTTAAAATATTTGCTCTGATGGACCCACCATTTTTTTTTAAATATTTGCTCTGATGGATGGTGGAGATCGGATCCGTATGGAATAATTTTTCGTGTAGCACGGAGGTGTGTGTTAATTCAAATATGCATTAGTACTTATAATAATTCAAAATTATTGTCAAGTTATATATTTGCAGTGTTATTATAACCGGTAAACAAGTTGAAATTTTATATTATAATTGTTGCAAAAATTACAATATGATTATTCTGCGACTTTACAGTGGTTATAATCATTCTTTTATGTTTATTTTGTGACGAATTTAATCATTACACTCTTGCACTAATCTATTGCCTATCATCCAGTCTCAACAAGAGATAATATTACATGCTGATAATATACGCGTTGATTGGTGATATTGTGAAAATATTATATATCATCAAATCTGTGTTTGTTCTATCTACACATAATATTTCTTCTCAATACAAACAACTCTCAGGAACTTGGAAAAAAATTGAGTACGTAAGACGTACGCAGCGTTGCGTACGTCAGTAGGTTACAGAGAGGGTATCAGGAGGTTATATCTGTGTTATATCCCCAGTAGCCTCCCTATAACCTACTGTAATCTACTTATAACGTATAAATATATGAAAACAGAAGCGCAAAACTTACTAGAAGTTACAGATAGGTTATAGGTAGATTACATAAATGTTACATGAGCTATAATGCGATTATAATCTCTCGATACCCTTTCTGTAACTTATTGACGTACGCAGCGCTGCGTACTTCTTAAGTACGCAAATTTTTTTTCCAGGAACTTTAGAGTCACAAACACACTGAACGTGATTGAGAGCCTACCATGTTTGACATTAGAACTTTGCCAATTCCTTGTTTTTTTTTAATTCAATTTTATAATCTAATTTATCCAATTTTGAATTGGTCAGATGGATGAATCAGTAAATTAGTTGAAGGTCCACCATCCATAAGTTGGTTTCTTCATTATTCAGGCTTCATGATCTGTACTTGGACTTGATTCAATTAGGAGGAATATATGATACATGATAACCAAATTTGTTTGACTTCAACATGAAAAATAAACTATATTTTTTAGATCATGCAAGCATCTGCATTCATTATATTTTAGGGGTCATTTGACTTATTGAAAATAAATAGTGTAATAAGTATGTGATGTTTGAAAGACTTTATAAGTTGTTTGATTAGGTGTAGAACAAATGGAGTGCATTATTATCATTATTTGTATTTAGTTTGAAGTAAAATAAAATAAAAATAAATTTTGATTATCGCATTTAAGTTTTTTTTTTTTCAAAATAATAAAAACAAGAAGTTTAGGAATGGTCTTTAAGATGACGATACTACTAAAACATAAAAATATTTGGATGCATATCATATGGTTCATATGAATTGATATATCTAAAATTTAATTTTTTTTTTCATATGAATTGATATATCTAAAATTTAATTTTTTATTTATTTATTTATTTATTTATTTATGATGATTTGCATGCTTGCCACTCAATTTCAATGTATTTACATATCTAACACCTAAATTTCAATTTTTTACATATATGGATAGATAGGTATTACCTTAACTATGCAAGAAAAAAATTAAGAGTTAAAATTATGACATTTTGACGTGATATGAAAGATTTGAGTGGTATAACTCTTATGAAGTAAAGTTTATATTTTAGATATATAAAAATATAGAAATTGAGTGCTACATATGCCCCCATTTACTTATAATATTTTTTATGTGACATAAAAAATTTGAATATTATATATATAAAAATTAAAGTATAAATATAGATAAAAAGTGGCATTTACATATATACCCACCAATTCCAATCTATTTATAAACTTAACACCTAAATTTTACTTTTTAACATTTATACCACATAAATCTCTCACATCACATCAAAGATATCACCTTTTCAATTTTTTTTTTTAAAAGATACATCTTTTCATGTATTTGAACGTGGTATTTTTGTAAAAATTAAAGTTTAGGTGCTAGATAACTAAATTCATTACAATTGTTTGGTATGTATGCAAATCTTCCTACTCTAACTGCCTCAAAAATATATATAAATAGAATTAAAAACGATCTCCACAATCACAAAAAGAAAACGTTTTGAAGCTCAGATACCAGAAATGGCGAGAGAATCCCCGCTGCAGGGCGACCTCCTTGAATCCATCTTCTCGCACGTGCCAACTATAGACCTGTTATCAGCCTTACACGTGTCGAGAACGTGGCGGCGCGCTGTTCTCTCCTCCATCCACCGACGCCCTAACCGACCTTGGTTCTTCATTCATTTCCTCAGGCGCCGCGGTCACCACCGCCGGCGAGGACTCTCCGCCGCCTACGATCCCCATTCCCAATGCTGGTACATCCTTCCTCACGTGACTCCCCCGCCCCCCATCACGTGTCCCTTCCTCCGCATCGCCGTCCCCTTCCAACCCCTCGCCGCCACGTGGTCCCTCCTCCCCCCTCCTCTCCTCCATCGCAACGACGCAGTGATTTCCCTAGTTAACCACACTCTTATCATCGCCGGCGGAGTTTGCGAGCTCGGCGACCGCACGTGCGCCGTCGAGTCCCTAGCCCTGGACTCCGCCTCTTTTGAATGGGAGAACTGCGAACCAATGCCGGAGAGCCTCCGCGAATCGGCTGCCGCCACGGGGCTGGCTGT